AAATGAGTTCGTCTCCGATCCTTTCCCTCACCATAACAATAACAACAATCCTCGTCATAACGTCGCGTTTTTCCCACTCGTCCCCAACCCCTAACGAATTCTACGAGTGCATAAACCTCTACTCCGACACCCCAATCCCTTTCCCCGCAGCATTCTACCCACGCAATAGCCCCTCGTTCAACTCGGTCCTCAACTCCACCGCCCAAAACCTCCGATGCCTCGTCCCCTCCGAACCAAAACCGGACCTAATCTTCACCCCACTAACCGAGAGCCACGTCCAATCGGCCGTCATCTGCGCCCGCCGCCTCGGTCTCCACTTTCGATCCCGAAGCGGCGGCCACGACTACGAAGGCCTCTCCTACACCTCGAAAAACGGGCAACCCTTCATCGTAATCGACCTCTCAAAGCTCCGGTCAATCACGGTCGACGTGCCAGATGGGACCGCGTGGGTCCAGTCTGGCGCCACCAACGGCGAGCTTTACTACCGAATTTACCAAAAGAGTAGGACACATGGCTTTCCGGCCGGACTCTGCCCGAGCCTCGGCATCGGGGGCCATATCACGGGAGGGGGTTACGGATTCATGATGCGGAAGTATGGGCTCGCGGCCGATAATGTGGCTGATGTGCGGATAGTGGATGCCGAGGGCCGGGTGCTTGACCGGGCCTCGATGGGCGAGGACTTTTTTTGGGCCTTACGAGGTGGGGGCGGGGGAAGCTTCGGGATCATCACTGCGTGGAAGGTTCGGCTCGTGATGGTCCCGCAAATCGTCACGGTTTTCACGGTCCCCAAGACGCTCGAGCAGGGCGCCACGCGGATATTGTCCAAGTGGCAGCGCGTGGCGAGCAAGATCGACGAGGATCTCTTCATCCGCGTCATCATCCAGGTTAGGGTCTTCGCAACTTACATTTTACCTAACCGTTCCAAAAAACGTACCAAAATCATACCTTTTTGCTTTCTCCAAACCAACCGAACCAAAAGATATTAATTGGTATGGTTGTAAAGGATTCATAATATCGGAAGTGAACCTGAACCGAAAGACCTAAATTAAGAATCAGACTATAAATTTAATTGTGTAATCTTGCTCTTTGCTTTTAAAGTTCACACAAAATTTAATATTTTTCCAAAAGTTTAGTTATATTATTTTTATTATTCTGCCTATTTATGGTCTTATAGTTGAAATGAAACAATAAATTACAAAAATATTTTCTAAATTTATATACATTTTATTAAGAATTTAAATTTTTACCATCTGGTTTCATAATCTTAACTAAACTGCTGAAATTCATTTTTATTTTTTCTAATTTGTTAAAAGTGAAATTCATTTCAAAATAAAATCTTCCATACGAAATGCACAAATGTTGAAAGTTAATATATAGCATTTCATTATAACCAACCACTTTTATCTATACTTATATAATAAGGGGTACCATTTACAAAATTTAGTAAGTTGAAAAGTCAATGCAATAAATGTCTTACTATTTTGAGCAAAATAATATAATATCATATTTATACTTATATAAAAGGAGATTCTATTTACTACATTTACTATCCATAAAAGTCAACTGCATTAAATGTCATTATTATTTTGGTATTATAATATTTTATTTATTTAATTAATATTTATTTGTTTTATTTTAAAAAGGTAAGTATAATAAAAAGATTTTAATAATAAAAAAATCAAATACCAAATAAAAATGTACACTTTGACTTATTTGATTATATTTGGTATTTGATTATACCAAATATATTCCTATTTAATATATACATTAAATACTTACTAAAGTATTTATTTGTTTTATTTGTCAAAGTTAAGTATAGATTTGTTTATATTATCAAATCATAAAAAAATCTTAAATCCATAATGTAAAAAAAAAAATCATATAATTTTATAACAATTCTACTACACTATTTAACAATATTCCTTTTTATTATGTAATAAAATAATAATTAAATATTATATGGTGAACAACAATAAGTAAAACTGTTACTTTTTCTTATATCAAGGGATAAATTTATATGTTAAAATTAAATTTTTATTAGTATAAATATTTAGTGAGATAATATATTAATTATTTTACAAGCTAGCCCTAACATGCTTATATTTAATGTTTTAAAAGATGTAGAAAAAACTTATAATAACTCTATTGTTTTTTAGACTTTAACGTTGATTAAAAGAGGTAAAAATTCCTAATTTTTTAGACTTAAACGTTGATTAACACCATAGATTGAGAGTCTATATTTAGTAAAATTTCTATTTGTAATAAAAAAAATTAATTTTTGTTATATTTTAGAATATCTTTAAATTCATTATAAAAAAAAAGAAAAAAAAAACTACAATGAAAAAAGCAAGTCAGCTATATATCGATTTGTTGTACTACTCAAATCAAATTCACAATTTGGCTACAAGGAAAGGAAACTCATTGATTAAAATATTATTTTGTCAGTAGTCTTAATGTACAAGAGACTTTAAGACTCCACTTGAATATTATAAAACTTTTTATTGAACATTGTACAATTTTCTTGCATATTATATACTTTTATTGAATATTACATCTTATAATATAATATTCTCCAAATAAATATATCCCGTGCTTCGCACGGGTCACGTACTATATATATCCCGTATATTTTTCTTTATTCATGTATATAATTATAAACCTGGATAAATAGCCTTAAAATTGTGCACTCCGTGCATCGCACGGGCTCTGTACTAGTTCTTAATGAAACGACACACATTACTACTATTTATTTCACTCCAGCTTAATAATTAGAAATCTCCGACTATCCATTCCGAACCATCCCGATAGTTCCGAAATCTCTAACCGAACAGAACCGAAAATAAAATATAAAAAGATCTACTAATCGAATCGTCCCCACATTTTGGTACGACTCTAGATATTGAATTTTGATGATCTCCGATTTATTTTCGATTCGGTTCGATTCAGGTGGTCCCTGTTGGCACGGGCCCGTCGGCCAAGAAAACCGTGCAGACGATCTACAACGCGGTTTTCCTGGGTCGGGCCGACCGTCTTCTCGACGTGATGGAAACGAGCTTCCCAGAGCTCGGCCTCACTCGGAACGATTGCCGAGAGATGAGCTGGATCGAGTCGGTCCTCTACATCGCAGGGTACCCTCCCTCGACCCCACCCGAGGTCCTCCTCCAAGGGAAATCCCTCTTCAAGAACTACTTCAAGGCCAAGTCCGAAATCGTGCGGAGGCCCATACCCGAGCCCGGTCTCGACGGGCTTTGGGCCCGCTTGCTCGACGACGACTTGCCGCTCGTGATCATGAACCCGTTCGGCGGGATGATGGCCCGAATACCCGAGTGCGAGACGCCCTTTCCTTATAGAGAAGGGGTTCTCTACATGACTCAATATTTGACGAGGTGGAATGACGCGAATCCCGAGTCTGAGTCGAGGCACGTGACTTGGATTCGTGGATTGTACGATTATATGAGCGCGTTTGTCTCGCGCTTCCCGAGGGGCGCGTACGTGAATTATCGAGACCTCGATTTGGGGACGAACGGGAATTGCTCGGGCGACGGTTTAGTCGAGGGGGGGAAATATTATTGGGGTTTTAAGTACTTCAATAGGAATTTCAAGAGATTGGTGCTTGTCAAGAGTATGGTGGATAGGGATAATTTCTTTAGGCATGAGCAGAGTATACCTACATTGATGATGTTAAGGGGAAATGCTAGCTAGCTAGTGTGTGAATAAATGTTGATTGAAAATTTGGTTGGTTGTTTTTGGGGGGGTTTGGTTTGGGTTTATGGGTGTTTGATGGGTTTGAGAATGAGAGATAGTAGTGTTTGTGTGATTGTGTGTTGGGTTTGATTTGAGATGTGTGGGTCTTTTTTATTTATTTGTCATCAATGTTTTGAATGCATTGATAATAATTATATGTATGTATAAAAATGAATTATTGATATGGGTTATTAAGTTTGGGTTTTATTATATGTGAATATTGATTGATAAGTGAAGTGGTCTTGGTAAACATATGTTGTGGATGTAGATTGAATTAATTTGTTGTTGAATTGAATCTTATTCAATTAGTTTATACGAAAAATTTCTTAAATATAAACAAAATTTAATTCAGATCTCAATATGCATAGTTATACGATTTATAGTTTTTTTGCAGAAAAATCAAAAATCTCATTTTTCATATTTTAGTAACGGATTATATCCTCTTGATTTCAAACCAATCACGTGTGCATATAAGTACGAGCCGTATCACTATATTCATATACAATTAATCTAGACATGGCCAGAGGCCCAACTCGGTAGGCCAGCGGGCCCAGACTGGTGGTCAACGGGCTTGACCGGGCTGGATTCGGGCCAGAGGATCGGATGGCTCGTGGCCAACTCTTAATTAATCAAAGGAAAGAATTCATAAACGAATTAAAAAATTGGAATAAAAGAAAAAAAAATACGTAAATTAATTTCAAGTACTAATGATCCTTAGAATCGCATTGAATTACACAATTGCATGTAATCAATTCAATTGAAATTCCAAGATCAAACATATTATAGTTGTTAATATTAAAAATAATATAATGTCTAAATCAATGGAATCATATTTTGAGAAATAAAAAACCATATATTACATATTTGGTTTTAGGTTAGACTAGTAAGTAACCCGTGCGATGCACGGGCTGTATTTATTTTGAGGAATATTATAAATTAAAATATACTAATAAATAAAAGAATGATGATTCATAGAGAAATTGTCAAATTATAAAATGATCCTCATAAAAAAAATATATTATTATAAATTTCCTTGTACACAACATTATTTGTTTGATAACTGGATAACTCGTCGTCCCACAAGCTACTATTTTTAACTCTTTTCTTTTACTTACACGCGAAACAAACGACATATAATTGTATGTGACTAAAAATTGATTTTTTTCGTACGATAAGAACTGACCATGACTCTTCTTTATCTATTACTTACACGCGTAACAACCTATAATTGGTAACAACGACATATAATTGGTCGTGCGTGACTAAGAACCGATTTCTTTAGGAACATGTCTACGCACGATAAAGATTGACCTCCACTCTTAAATAGAACCCTAAGATTAGAAGGAACTGGTGCCGCTGGAACTTAAATGGAATCCTAAAATGGACCTATTTATAATATGATAATTCACTTAGGCAGTTAGACAAATGAGCTGGTACTATATCATTTTAATATCGACTATAATTGATTAGCTAAATAATATTTACTAATAGTTTTATACTTTTTTATACAAAAAAGGCTGACCTTGACTCTTAAATAAAATCCTAAAATCAGAAGGAACTGATTGGAAGCAGATGAATCTATTTATAACATGATAATTTATCTGACAGTTCGACAAAGAATTTGTTACTTGTTAGTTTATCATATTAATATCGTACTTGATTAGCTAAATAATATTCACTAATATTTTTATACTTTTTTATCTTGTTATAATGTTGTGTGATAACTGGATAACTCGTCGTCCCACAAGCTACTATTTTTAACTCTTTTCTTTTACTTACACGCGAAACAAACGACATATAATTGTATGTGACTAAAAATTGATTTTTTTCGTACGATAAGAACTGACCATGACTCTTCTTTATCTATTACTTACACGCGTAACAACCTATAATTGGTAACAACGACATATAATTGGTCGTGCGTGACTAAGAACCGATTTCTTTAGGAACATGTCAACGCACGATAAAGATTGACCTCCACTCTTAAATAGAACCCTAAGATTAGAAGGAACTGGTGCCGCTGGAACTTAAATGGAATCCTAAAATGGACCTATTTATAATATGATAATTCACTTAGGCAGTTAGACAAATGAGCTGGTACTATATCATTTTAATATCGACTATAATTGATTAGCTAAATAATATTTACTAATAGTTTTATACTTTTTTATACAAAAAAGACTGACCTTGACTCTTAAATAAAATCCTAAAATCAGAAGGAACTGATTGGAAGCAGATGAATCTATTTATAACATGATAATTTATCTTACAGTTCGACAAAGAATTTGTTACTTGTTAGTTTATCATATTAATATCGTACTTGATTAGCTAAATAATATTCACTAATATTTTTATACTTTTTTATCTTGTTTAAAAGAACATTACACATGTATGTTTAAAATATTAAAAACACCTATGTTATATAACATATATAAGATTATCTAAAATATTCTATATTATTCTTAAAAATGTGAGGTCATCTAAAATTTTTTAAAATTATTTTGAAAGCAAAACATGTCTACAAAAAAGTTCAACACACACATATATACACAACATGTTTAAAATATACAAAATATTCCATGTGAATAATATGTATTACAGTCTTAAAAAATATTAGTAATCATATCTACAAAATTACGCATGAAAATACAAGACATTAAACATTACATCACGCTAATTTTATGAGAAAGATTATATATAGTAGATATAAAATATAAAAATATTAGTGATTAGACATTACTTCTCGCTAATTTTTTCAAGCCGAACAATTTTTAATTAGACAACTTCCCTATTATATGTGTGAGAATTTTTTATATAGTAGATTTATATACATAGATATAGATTTTGCATAGCATGTTTATAGTACTCCTTTTTTTATACTTTGATCGGTTTTGTATTTATCGTGTAGATTGGCAAATTCATTTTACGGCAGATATGAATAGAAACGTGTAAATCAAATTTCATTTGAAGTTCAAATTTTGTATAAATTCAATTTTACAATAGCAATCCTTTTTTAACTTGGTTTATTAGTGCATTTTTGTATTTATCTTGCAGATTCTTACTATCATTTTAAGGCAAATTTGGTTCCATTCAATGTTGAATGTAATATTTAAAAATATTAAATAATACAAATATTAAATGATAATTATTAATGGAAAACAGCCAATATGAGTACATTATAATATTTTATATCTATATATGAACAAATATATTCGGACTAATGGAATACAAATAATCAAATACATATAGATCAGGAAATTTAGTAGTTTTATTAAAAAGTATTTTTACATCTTAATTACGAAAAAAAGTAAACTACTATTTGTTAATCTGAAATTTGTATATTTAATTATACTAATGTTTTATTAATTGTGAAAGGCCTACTCTTATTAAATCGGCCAAGTTATATTAATATATTATCAAATTATTTGGTATCTTTTTTTTTCCAGCAGATTAATATTATTGTATTATTAAATTATTAAATTCTATGAACACACGATTTTATAAGGATACTATTATGTTAAATTAAAAGGTATTTAGCACGTAAATTCGGTTCTTAAGAGTAGGCACATTATAATATTTTATATCTATATATGAACAAATATATTCGGATTAATGGAATACAAATAATCAAATACATATAGATCAGGAAATCTAGTAGTTTTATTAAAAAGTATTTTTACATCTTAATTACGAAAAAAAGTAAACTACTATTTGTTAATATGAAATTTGTATATTTAATTATACTAATGTTTTATTAATCGTGAAATGCCTACTCTTATTAAATCGGCAAAGTTATATTAATATATTATTAAATTTTATGAACACACGGTTTTATAAGGATACTGTTATGTTAAATTAAAAGGTATTTGGCACGTAAATCCGGTTCTTAAGGGAATTTAAAATTGATTGCACTCTATTTTTGGGTAAACTTATATTACTATATTACTAACATGTTTGATTCCATTAAAACCGGAAAAATGCATCCATAAACTATTAAATCAGTTGATTCCATAAACTGATTACAATTAATACTTCGATATTTAAGATCCTGTATTGTCTAAAAATACTATAATTAGAATGTAATTAATGCATAATGGCAGAAAAATATTAATAAATTTGATTTAAATCTATTCTTATTATATATAAATATATAGATATAGATATATTGATTGTTAATAGATTTGATTTAAGTTTATTCTTATATATATGACCCACGAATTCAAAATTTCAAATAATGGATCAAGATTCAAGACACATACACAATCATTAAACTTAAAAATCCATTTACAAGCGCTCAAAATTACTCGTCCCCAGATTCTACGGAAGTTTCGATCTTATCGATATAAACAATATATTTCATTTTCTAAATAACTGTTGAAACGTAAACCATCACACATAGAATTCGGCACAAACTATGAAACGTAATCCAATAGTGAAAAATTCCCGCAATTACCTATATATAGATA